GCTAATAAATGTGATAAGACTAACGAACAGTGGAGAATCTCACCATCAGATGGCAGGCAATATGCTGAACAAAATAACATGAAGTTTATTGAAATGTCTGCACATTATAAGGAAGATTTTGAAAAGATTGATGACATTTTTAAAGAGGTTGTGGGCAAAGTGATAGCAGAAGGAGGAGGAACCAGAACCAATAGTAGTGTAACACTACATCAGGGTAACGCTACAAATCAAGAAACGAGTTCCTGCTTGAAGTGTTAATTGGTTTCAATGACTGATGCAAGAGGATGAACCAAACTTTTGGTCTGCTGCTCAAGTTTTAAAATTTTGCATTTTATATTAATATGCAGTGTGCTTTATGACCATTATTACTATAATTTTTTAAATTTAAAGCTATTTTACTGAGTATCAGTAACAATACCTTTGTATACTATAATTATAGACTTCATTCTGGCATTGAGCAGTTTGGAGCTTTGAGCCATAGCATTGAAAAGGACATGATGATGATTCTCATTGGCAACAAGGATAATCTTTACAAAGAAAAGATCAACCCTAAACCCAAGCAATCAATGCGCCTCTAGTGCAGTGACAAGAGCAAAAAACAGTGAGAGCATACATCTTCCTTGCAATTCTATCCTGTGTTGTTCCTGTTGTCAAGTTCAAAAGAAGTCGATGTTTTTGTTGAAAGACTACTTATACAATTACTTTTATATACTTTTATATTTTCCATTCTAGTTGTCCCTTGAATAATGTAAGCACAAAATACCACTGAGGTGCATCACTGCTTTAAACTGCATTTGTATTTTAGCTCCTACTCCAACGCCCACGCATTATTAAAGAAGAATGTTATCTGTGCAGCCTTATATGGAAGTTGAAAGCTGTAGCAAAGGGGTTGGCTTTTTATCAAAGCTGCCTGCCCTTAAACCTTTAAAGTCATGGCCTCAAACGCTGCAGGTGCAGGAAAACAGCTCCGAATCATTTTCATTGGTGATTCTAATGTTGGGAAGACATCAATATTCAAATTATTTGAAAATCATAAAGTCTTCAAGTCACCTGTGGTCACAATTGATGCTCAGACAATAGAAAGAAACATTGTCATTGGACCACCATATGAGACTGTAAAGGTCAGAACTAAAATTTCTTTATTATCGATAATGGTAATGTTTTTAGCTCTTGATTTATGATACAGCTGGTCAGGAAAGGTTTAGGACCTTCACAAGACAGTATTTTAGAGATGCAGACATTGCCTTTCTTGTTTTCAGCATCACTGATGGTGATTCATTCCACCACATTGGAGAGATATGGATGAAAGAGATTGCTGATAACAGAAGGGGTGACACTGAGATGATTCTGATCGGTAACAAATCTGATCTGGCTGATGAGAGGGTTAATCCTTTATCAACTAGCAAGCAATTCGCTGAGCAAAATGAGATGAAGTTCATTGAAATGTCTGCCCTTAAAAATGATGATTTTCAAAAGTTGTACGACGTGCTTAAGGAAGCTGTGACCGATGTGATAAAGAAAGGAAGAAGAACAAAGGAAGAAGAGATTAAGATTAACAATGATGAGCCAGCTCCACGAAATGACAAATGGTATTCGAAATGTAGAATTTAAGTGACATGTAAACTTTATTAGGCCATGAGTAAAGTGATACTTTTACACTATGATTTTGATAACAATAATTTACACAGTGAACTTTATGAATGCCTCAATGATATCACTGATAAGGAGATATATGAATAGGAGATAATATGAATAGGTCAGTCTTGCTGAGGTTAACAACATGATACCGACACCATTTCCTGCAAGTATCCAACACTAAATACAGGCATAATAATTACACCACAATTTAATAGCTGTGGTTGCTATAGTAACATATTGATAATACCTTAGATGTGGTCAACCAACACATGTCTGCAATATCTAATGTTGCTTTATATTCTGGTCAGTCATTGCAGCTGCATAATAATTACTATAATTTCAATTAAAAATTATCATTCTGATGAAAAATGGTGCGCAATAATACCTGTAATATACTAACACTACAACTATCGATGTAATTAGTGGAAGTTATAAAATTCTACAAGTAATCACATGCATGTACATCTACAGGTAATTCATGTATTTTTTATTTATTTATGTATTCTTAATTAGTTTGTCTCTCCTTTTTTGCATAAATATCCTTAATCACTTCTACCGTTTCATCAATCAAAAATTCCAAAATCTCATCTGCAGTCCTTTTCTTAATTTTATCCTCTTCTAGTCTGTAGTTGATCCAAGAAGGCTCCTCCTGCCTCATCTCACTTAGTAAGATGCTATCAATAAAATCCACTTCTTTTCCACCCGTTCTACAGTTGTTGTGGAGATAGCGGAGAGGAGGTAGAGGGTGTGGTCTCTTCCGCTGCTCAAGGAGGGCATGTACCCTGTCTTGAACATGCTCTAAGGTAGAGCAGCTTATTTTGTGGCTGATCAGCGACCCTGTCCTCTCTCCCTCCATCACTCTTAGTGCCAGATTGAATACCAAGTGTACGAAAGACTTCTCACAGTTCAACATGACCCCAGTCTTATTGCACAATTCATTTATCAACTCTTAAGATGGTACCAGCTGAGGAGGGGTCTGTTCTTTACAGGGTTTAGCCAGTTGGGAGGATATGTGGTTTTTAAGAGTGTTCCAAGCAGATTGAACAATACGATTAACTTGCTGTCTTGAATTTGGTACTAGAGCACTGAGAGGAGAATGATATCCCTCTCTCTTTATTGACACTTTTATTAATCTCAACTTCTACTATAGGAACTTCTGCTTTAGCTTCCTCTTTGCTTTTAACAGCTTCTCTCTCCTCCTCCTCCTCCTCCTCCTCATCTTCTTGGTTCAATGCTTCTCTAGTGTCTCTTATATTACAAATCAGGTAAACCTCTGATTGAACTAAAGCTGACAGCAACTGATCAATAGAGGCTTCTGTATCAGGTCTTTTCTTCTTGCTCCATATATCAGCTACACTCTCAAACTCTCCATCTTTAATTACTTGATCATCTTCTCCTTCAACTTAAACTACTTCAACTAGCTCCTACTTCAACGCCCACGCATTATTAAAGAAGAGTATGTAGCCTTATATGGAAGTTGAAAGTTGTAGCAAAGGAGTGCCTGCCCTTAAATTTTTAGAGCCATGGCCTCAATCGTTATAGGTGCTGGAAAACAGCTCCAAATAATCTTTATTGGTGATTCTGGTGTTGGGAAGACATCAATATTCAAATTATTTGAAAATCATGAAGTCTTCCAGTCTCCTGTAGTCACAATTAATCCTCAGCAGGAGCCCATAAAAGAAAAAGGGAAGGGTAGGAGCGCGCAACACCCACGCATTTAATTAAAATCACCGTAGCCTGCATAGCTTAATGAGTTTACTATTTTTAGAACAAGGT